AAGAATCATCTCAGAAGTTGGTGCTCCTTTTATAAACCATTTCAAACATCAGTTCTACATTTCATAAATTTTGATATGCACATTTTCTTACATTTTCAATCCTAGAGAAAAAAAACCTCATATAATCAATGGCATCTCAAAGAGCACATTGTCAACGCACACACACATGAACTTGGTCTGAAAACCTCTCGCTGGCATTTTCTACCTCTATAAGGGTAGATATAGATAAAGATTCTGTGTAACATATGTGTAAATGTCTCAAAAAATCTGAATGTATACACAAGTTTAAATGGTACTATGGAATGACATTGAAAAATAAATACCATGAATAGTTAAATTTTAACGTGTAAGCTTCTGTAATTTTTTTAATGTATACAGTATGTTTTTATTCTATAATTTAAAAGGTATTCTAATCCTCTATTCATTGAGGTCCTTCACCAGTGGCTTGAGGGAAGTTTCAGGGCAGAGTGTTTTCTAATTAAGAAATTCTACATCACATCTCCATTAACAGCATGACATGGGACACTATGGATACTGATGACTCTGAGTGCAAACTGGATTCTGAAGATATGGATGCAGGTTGTGAAAATACTTATTGGAACCTAACTAATTGGTTTTTTATGTATATAGGAGCTATTTATGTGTTATTTAAAGGGCTCTTTCAACAAGTACAAGCTAAGGATTATGAGCGTTTTAGAGTATAATGCAATTGGGCACTTTTCTTTCATTATGCTGCATCTTAAACTGATGATTTTTCGATTTGATGGCATATGCTTAAAACCCACCCTTTTGCAAAAGGAAACAGTGGAAATTCTAATTTTGACCTTCCTACTTGTATTACAACTACCAGTTTTTTCTCTGTCTTCTTTTGAATATTATTTGAATTATTCTGTCATCTAAATACTATCAATCAAAAATCTAAAGTTTGGTCTACAGAAATCTTTCAGTTGAAGTCTGCAGAAGAGATAAAACAGAAAATTATTGCAAAATTAAAATGTTTTAAAGATAAAAAATATCTAAGGAACTTCCACCTGAAATTAGCATGTTTTGGGCTACTCTACCCAGTGGGGAAGAACATGGCCACTGAATCTATGAAGTAAAATGACAGGTACAAAGGGTCGTGGTTCCTAAAACCAGTAATTACTGGAAAAAGTTAAATTGAAATCCCAGGAAAAATCTGTTTAGCTTATCAATACCTAGAGCAGGGGAAATGGGAACACATTATCATTCCCAGTGATAACAATGCTACATTTCATAATTTACATGAAGTAAATTACATGAACGTAGGGAAATGTTTAATATCCTATAATTGTGCTTTTAGTCTTTTATGAAGGAGCAAAATAGATAATTATTCTAGTAATGCTTCAAATATCAAGAACTTTTCTGGTGGCACACATTTTGTAGTCAAGATAATATAAAGCTTGAATTCACAGATTACTAAGTCTGAGGGACCACATCAACTCTATCCACATTTTTTAAATGTTCCATAATCTAATAATTCAAAAATATGTATCTGATGTCAAAATTATTCCATACTCTGTTGTAGGAAATGGTGACATAGCTGTGATTAAAAAAAAAAAGAATTACCTGCTCCACTGAAGACATACAAATGGACAATAGGCACATGAAAAAAATGCTCAATATCACTAATCATCAGAGAAATGCAAACTAAAACAACAATGAGGTATCATGTCACACCAGTCAGAGTGGCCATCATTCAAAAGTCCACAAATGATAAATGCTGGAGAGACTGTGGAGTAAAGGGATCTCCTACACTGCTCATGGAAATGCAGTTTGGTGCAGACATTATGGAAAACAGTATGGAGAGTCCTCAAAAGACTAAAAATAGACTTACCATATGACCCAGCAATCCCACTCATGGGCATATATTCAGTGGGAGTGCTAATTCAAAAAGATACACTGGATAAAGAAGATGTGGTATATTTATACAATGGAATACTACTCAGCCATAAAAATCGACAACATAATGCCATTTGCAGCAACATGGATGCTCCTGAAGAATGTCATTCTAAGTGAAGTAAGCCAGAAAGAGAAAAAGAAAAATACCATATGAGATCGCTCATATGTGGAATCTAAAAAACCAAACAAACAAAGCATAAATACAAAACAGTAATAGAGTCATAGACATAGAATACAAACTTGCGGTTGCCAAGGGGGCAGAGAGTGGGAAGGGATAGATGGGATTTCAAAATTGTAGAATAGATAAACAAGATTATACTGTATAGCACAGGGAAATATACACAAGATCTTATGGTAGCTCACAGAGAAAACAAATGTGACAATGAGTATATATATGTTCACGTATAACTGAAAAATTGTGCTCTACACTGGAACTTGACACAACATTGTAAAATGATTATAAATCAATAAAAACGTAAAAGAAAAAGATACATGCACCTCAATGTTCATAGCAGCAGTATTTACAATAGCCAAGACATGAAAACAACCTAAATGTCCATCTACAGATGACTGGATAAATAAGCTGTGGTATAATTTCTATAATGGAATACTACTCAGCCATAAAAAAGAATAAAATAATGCCATTTGTAGCAACATGGATAGACCTGGAGATCGTCATTCTAAGTGAAGTAAGCCAGAAAGCAAAATACCATATGACATCACTTATATGTGGAATCTAAAAAAAAAAAGGCACAAGAGAACTTATTTATGAAACAGAAATAGACTCACAGACATAGAAAACAAACTTATGGTTATCAGGGGGGTGGGAAGGGATAAATTGGGAGTTAAGATTTGCACATACTAAATACTATATATAAAATAGATAAACAACAAGTTTCTGTTGTACAGCTACTGTATACAGGGAACTGTATTCAATATCCTGCAGTAACCTATGCTGAAAAAGAATACAAAAAAGAATATATGTATATATATGTATGACTGAGGCATTACGCTGTGCACCAGAATTTTATGCAACATTGTAACTGACTATACTTCAGTAAAAACAAATTACCCCCCTCAAAAAAAGAATCACCTGCAGTCGACTCTATTCTGTTTCTCCCAAGTACTTGTACATAGTTGTGTAAATCCTCTTCTGTTGATGTATACAATCTCTCAGAGGTGTCTCTTCAGAGATAAGACAGACAGATAATGACAAATAATGATTATATGACTTGTATGTGGAATCTAAGAAAAAACAGACTCATAGAAACAGAGAGGAATACTGCTTTCCCGGTGCTGGGAGGCAGGAAAAATAGGGAGACGGTTGTCAAAGGGCACAAACTTACAGTAAGATCAATGAGTTCTAAGGATATAATACACAGCCTAGCAATTATAGTTAACAATACTGTATTCCATAATTAAAAGTTGCTAAGAAACTAGATCTTAATTATTCTCATCACAAAAACGAAATGATAATTATGTGATGTGATGGAGGGGTTAGCTAAGACTATGGTGGTAATCACACTGCAATCTATAAGTGTATGAAATAAACACATTGTACACTTTAAGCCTACCCAAAGTGATACTTCAATTATACCTCAATTAAAAATTGATTCATTTTGAAATGCCCCCTCCAAAAAAAAAACAATTTAGAAATAAGTTTGCAAGAGATGCTCTTGTGCCTCTTAAAGCCACAGAGAGGTCAGGCACCAAGTTGCCGGCACATCTTCCATGCTTTCTGGCACCAACCAGGACTCTAAGCAGACCTGCAGGAGTTTTTGTAATTACTTGTTTGTCCTCTTTCAAGTGAATGAAGGGTGCACTCAGATTTCTGTGGGCCATTTTACCTACCTAGTCCATTCCTTCTCCCAGTGGAATGGAGCACAGCCTGTATTAAGTACATTTTTTTTCAATTTAAGGGCAGGGATGGTAACATCATTTTTGTTACCAACATCTCGAATCTTTGTCTTTTCAAAGACAAAGGCCAGGTCTCATCTCTTTCTTAGAGGATTCTGGCCTCCCAGTAAGTACCATATAGGACATTCTTCTCTGATTTTTAGAGTCAATCAAAGGACATTCTTGCCTGTAGTTTAATGCCAAACCTATTGACAAGATATTCCTTGTCTATGGTTTAATGCAATCCCTAATTACAGGACCTACAGTAATATGTGGGCTGACACTCGGAGCCAGAGCCAGAGTTAGGAGATAACATAAGACCGCAGTGTGTGCCCACAGAATGCATTGCTGGGGGAGGTGGGAGATCACACAGTGAGCAAAGTAGAAGGTAAGACAGCCGAAAGACTCTTAAAGGGCCGGTAACCATCTCAAGTGGTTTGAGCTGACAATGATACTTAATACTTAAAAGAGCATTTGATGGTTTCTGATTGTGTCACGTCAGATCTCTGTCTTGCCAGTGAGGGCAGGGGCCACAGCAAGACATGTGGCCACAGGTAGTCTCAGTGTTTTCACCTCTAACATGTGGAAAATAAATGTACCATTGGGACTTTTTGAGGATGAAAACAATAAATGCATGTAAAAAATAACTAAAATCATCACTAATAGTCATTGAACTCATTTGAGGTGTCCGACCTTGTCCAAAGCCATTCTTATAAACTGTGTCGGGGTACAGCTAATGTGAGCCATGGCTTTGACTGAACGTCAGGTGGTTCTCTCTTGAAAACAGTAAAGCCCTGCACATAGAAGCCACAATTCAACTAGCAGGAATGAAACTGGAGCAGGGGAACTTCTTACCTGGGTACATGTCTCACGTGACTGCCACTCGTGTGCACCTTTGATTGGAATCCCAATCCCTTCCTCAAGCGCCGCCCAGAATTGGAGGGAAAGGAGGAAAGCTACTCACTGAGGATTCAGGACTGGAGATCAGGTGGGTGCTGGATCAGTGAGGACATTCTTAAACTCAAGAGTCCTTGGCCTGTTCGCCCTAGGATTTTACCATGTATAAGAAAGGTAGTTTCATACCTTGATGCTTAAAACATAACGAAACAATGCCTGGGCAACATTCCGAAAGCAATAATCCACAAGAAGAAGCGTCAAAGTCTTCCTTCAACTTTTTCTTCTCCCCTCAGCCTCTGTTCTCTCCTCTGGTTATTTGTCCCCGGTGTGGCTTAGGAGGGAAACTGATTCATTACTACGAACAGATAAGAGAGGTTCAGGTAAGAAAAACAGAGGGTAGTAAAATAGCTAATAAAAGCAAAGCAGTTAAAATTATTAAAAATTATAAATCAGGTGATACATGCTTTATAAATATGGAAATAGTTCTGAGTCTATCTAGTAAAATGAGTCAAAGATAATTGTGCCATTGTATGATATGAGAAGATATAAAAAGTAATTCAGTAACATCCAGTAATATTTTTTTTTAAAAAGACACCTTCTGACTCTATGAATCTCCCCTACAAAAATGTTTTCATGTGTTAAGTTGTATGCCTAGGGATGTTTATTTCAACACTGTATCTTGTAGCAAAATGCTTTAACAACAAACAAACAGAAACATTAATATTTAAATATCAAGGAAAAAACAGTAAATTGGAAAATCATTGTGGTCTAATGATACAATGAATTATTATGGAAACTTGTGAGAACAAAATGTTAAAGCATCTAAAAACTGTCCACCACAACTAGGGGCTACAGAACCTCATGGAATGTATATCCCAGCATAGTGATGAGGAACGTGGTCTCCAAAGAGAAAGACTGAGCCTAGTGCCATGATCTTAGCACTTCTTATTCCTGTTGCACCCAATCCCTCCTCTCTTCTTCGTACACTTTGTTTACTACATAATGCATACATTTACCATGAGTGTTAATCAAGTAATGAAAGATAAGTATAATCAGTACCTGGAATATACAAAATTCTTGACAAACACTGGCAGTGATTAATATTATTACAATTGTACTCTGCATATCTGTCAGTGGATGAATGGATAAATAAGATGTGGTGTGTATCTGTACAACTGAATGTTATTCAGGCATGAGAAAGAAGGAAACCCTGCCACTTGTGACAACATGGATAAAACTTGAGGGCATGATGCTAAATGAAATATGTCAGGCAGAGAAAGACAACTATTGCATGATATCATTTGTGTATGGAATCTAAGAAGGGTAAACTCACAGAAACTGAGAGTAGAGTGGTACCAGGGACTGGGAGTTAGTGGAAATAGATGTTGGTAAAGGGTACAAATTTCTAATTATAAAGTAAGTACTGGGGATCTAATGTACAGCATGCTAATTATAGCTAATAATCCTGTATTATATATTTGGAAGTTGCTAAGTAGATATTAAATGTTCTTACCACAAAAAATAAACAGTAATTATGTGACATGACTGAGGTATTCACTAATGCTAGTGTGGTAATCATTTTGAAATATGTAAGTATATCAAATCAACATGTTGTAAATCTTAAACTTACATAATGTGATGTCAGTTATATCTCAGTACAGCTGGAAAAAATTACACCATTAAAAAATCCATGCTTGCTAAAATATTACAAGTAGACTACTGTATAAACTTAAGGTAATAAATTTTCTGCCATTTTACTCAAAATTTGTATAATATGTTAACCTTCAAAATAATTTTTTAGTTAAAAGATGTGGTTGAGTTTTTTTAAGAATTTTGTGGCTTTTCAAAAAGCACATGAAAAAATGCTCAATATCACTAATTATCAGAGAAATGCAAATCAAAACTACAATGAGGTATCACCTCACACCAGTCAGAATGGCTGTCATTCAAAATTCCACAAAGGACAAATGCTGGAGAGGCTGTGGAGAAAGGGGAACCCTCCTACACTGCTGGTGGGAATGCAGTTTGGTGCAGCCACTATGGAAAACAGTGTGGAGATTCCTCAAAAGACTATGAATAGACTTACCATATGACCCGGGAATCCCACTCCTGGTCTTGTATCCAGAAGGAAATCTACTTCAGGATGACACCTGCACCCCAATGTTCATAGCAGCACTATTTACAATAGCCAAAACATGGAAACAGCCTAAATGTTC